TCACTTGAAATTGCGAAACGGCGGCCTAGTCGGCAATTTACTCGGCCCGTAATTGATATCGTTATGCTCATTTAAACAGGGGATTAATTTGTTTTATCTAATTTGTCAGAGGTATTCCAAACTGTCGGTTTATAAACGGACAAACAAGCCCCAGCGCTAATTTGGAGCCTTCGAGAATCATCAATCTCGGGAGAAAAACTGGAGGCGGTAAAAATAAGTCGTCGCTGAGATTGCCCAGAAAGGTATTTAATTAATGATACGTGTGCCCATAATTAGATGTTCAAAATCACAACGAAATCGTTACTCACTTTAAGATGGTTTTATTTATTATTTTCCGTATTGTTTATTCTTAACACAGGAGCTGATATTTGTTTCAATCACAATCTATTGGTAGATTTTAAATTTAACTAAGAATTTGAATCGTAACTAGAGTTATACATGGGGTCCAATCTCCTGAGCCTCTTATAAATGATGTTTTGGGTACTGAGCAGTTTTAGTCTAACCTAACTTCTTACAGTTGTCATTTTAAGAACTATATTTTCATCCAGAAATGTTTCCGTAGATACTAACTTAGACTTACAGTAATATTTACAATTTATACAAGTATAAATTTATACAGACGTATATATTTAGCAAATACCGCACCTCTTTGTTAACCATTTTCCATCCACTCCTGAATGTAGATCTCTCAAAAATTGCTTCCATATTTCTCTATCTTGCGCCAATCTAATCCACTGTTTGCTTGCCACTGCTCTTATGTCATTTACCCATCTTTTTTGAGGTTTTCCCATGCTTCGTGTTGTCGTCCTTGGTCTCCATTCTAGAATTCTCGGTGTCCACCTGCTGTCATTATATCGGGCTACATAACCTGGCCAGCGCCATTTCATTTTTTGTAATTTCTTCTACAATACCCCTAATCCTCGTCCTACGTCTTATCTCGGTGTTTCTAATCTTGTCTCTCAGTGATATTCCAAGCCTGATTCGTTCCATCGCTCTTTGCGTTGTTTCTTATTTTTTTAGTAGATTTTTGGTAAGGACTGTCTTAAAGCCGTAGGTAGAAACTGGTAGTATGCGTGTGATATACACCTTTTTCTTTAAGTTTACAGGAATGAATCTGTTTTTAAAGATATTAGCTAGTTTGCTGAAAGCTCCCCATGTCAGTTGTGTTCTTCTTTTGCAATGCCTAATTTCTCAGTGTGAGATTCTGAATACCTGAGTTACCTGAGTTACCTGAAGTAATTTCGTATTGATACTCGACATCTTTAACTTGAAAGGTTTTAGTATACAGTGCGTTAAGTTTTTGATTAGGTATTGCACACTATACGGAGCGCTAAAATCGGCAACGTTGCAAATGTTCGTTCTCCGACCCGAGACTATCTGCTCCGACAGAAAATCATTTTAGTTTAGTAACTCACAACAACGTTTGGGATGTACTTCTCTGTCGTCCGATCTCATGTTTCATTACGTATAGCCGATTTTAATAGTAGGAAATTCGATAAAAATGCATTGTTATCGATTTTTATTAATGTGAAAATTTTTTTGTGGTTGAATTAAAAATAAAAGCGTATTTCTTTAAAAAGATAAAATAAAAAATATACTCTTTTTGAAAATTAAAATATTATTCCTAATAAAATAAAAAATAATTCTTTATGACCTACAGAAATGGTTCAAATAGTTGACCTTCTACGGCTGAACAGTACCCCAATCTGTCATAAAAACTTCTGCGAACAGATGAAAGAGTTTCTGCTGTAACAGAATTGGAGACTTCTCTTATTCGATTTTTTAATTCATCCAAATTTTGGGCTTTAGCCTCAGGATTATCGTAGATAATGCTTTTTAAATGTCCCCAAAAAAAGAAGTCCATGGGTGTAAGATCTGGAGATCGCGCAGGCCACTTAATATCGCCTGTTCACTGATAACTCGATTCGGGAAAGTATTGTTTATATACTCCCTAATGATTCAAGCGTTGTGAACTGAAAAGCCGTCTTGATGAAACCAAACATTCTCCAGATTTACATGAGGAAGATTGAGAATAGCGTGAAGAACATGATTCTGTAACAAATCGAGGTATACTCTACTATTCAAGTTGCCCTCAATAAAAAATGGACCTATTATGTGGTCTCCTAAAATGCCAGTCCAGACGTTAACTTTTTGAGGACGTTGAGTTCGGTAAACAACAATTCTGTGCTGGTTTTCCCGCGCCCATACCTCGTTATGGAAGGATTGTGTCTCCCTACTAACGAAACAGAAAATTCATCAGTAAATAAAATGTTTTTAATAAAATTTGGTTCACTATTAGCCTTCGTTATTAGAGTTTCACAAAACTCCATTCTTCGAAAGTAATCGTCTGGATAAAGCTGCTGCGTTTTCGAATATTTAAAATTCTTGTAACCGTGCTTTTTCCATACTTTCGTTACAGTAACATTGCTAACATCTAACTCTCCAGCAACGCTTCTACTTGAACGTGTTGAATCTACCTTGATTGTTGCACAAATTTGTGTATCCCGGTATTCTCTTTCCTCAACTTTTTCTGGTAACACTTCTTGAGCGTGACATTTTCTGCAATTTTTGTGGCAATAACAACTCTCAAAATTTTTAACAATATTATAAATTGCATGTACACAAGGAATTGGTCTTCCCTCAAAAAACACAGAAAATAAATCTACACACTGTTGCGCAGAATTGCCACTATAAAACCATTTTATTATTTGAGCTTTTTCCGCGGCCATATAAACAGACATGTTTACAAAAATAAATTAAAACTCTACGCTGTTATACCTTTTACCTTTAAACAACCACGGTATAATGACAATATGACAAATTTGCCGACGGGCGACGAGCAACGACGAGTCAACGAGGCAGATATGTAGTAGCAAGTGGACGACGCGCAGTGTTGCCATTTATAGAGTGTATACCTAATCCAAAACTTAACGCACTGTATTTAAAACGCCACGCTTGCCGAGCGGGTTGGCGAGTGATTCTATTCAATTCCTAAAATCAGGGGATTGATACATCCGCCATCCACGCCATACTGAAGTTATTCTACTCCGCCGTTCCTGCCGTTGTGGACTTCATCCGTAATCCTGGATAAGGGACTCTAAGCAATTAGTAGTTTCCCAGGTCAGGAAACCCCTTAAATCTGCAGAGGGCAGGTATTGATTCATTTTCGCTGATAGGACTACCCAGAGGAGTTCCTATTCGCTACCCCTATATATATAATAGAGCATATTAAAAAAAAACACTTTCAACATTAAACACTCTTCTTCTGGTTCCTATCCATTTCGGATGTTGGAAATCATATTGGCAATCATAACCTTGCTCGCTGCGGCTCGAAACATCGTTCTTCTTAAACCATGTTCTTAAATTCCGCAGCCATGATATTCTCCTTCTACCGGGTCCTCGCTTATCTTTGACTTTACCTTGCAATATAGACTGTAGCAGGGAGTAACGGTGCTGATTTCTCATGACGTGTCCCAGATATTGCAATTTTATGCGTTTGATCGTAAACACAATCTCTGGTTCCTTTTTCATTTTTCTAGAACTTCCTCGTTCGTGATCCTTGCTGTCCATGATATTTTCAGCATTCTTCTATAAAGCCACATCTCAAATACTTCAAATTTTTAAATAGTGGTGTCTGTAAGCGTCCATGCCTCCGCCCCGTACAACAACACAGAGAAAACATAGCATCTCAAATGTCTCATTTTTGTATCAAGGGATATGTTGTGACTTTTGAAGATGTCGCTCATTTTGTTAAAGACCGCTCTTGCCTTTCCTATGCGGCACTTTATTTCCTGTATATTGCTCCACTGTTCGTTTATAATAGTTCATAGGTAGCAATACTGTTTTACTCGCTCTATCTGCGTCCCATTAATGTATAGATGAGCCCCGTTTATATTCTCCTTGCTGTTAATCATTTGTTTCGTTTTGTGGGTATTAATGTTTAGTCCGTATTGTTGACTGTAGTCGTTTATTCTGTCCATTAGCCTCCGAAGTCCCTCTAAACTATCTGCTATCACCATGGTGTCGTCGGCATATCTAACATTGTTTACTCTTTCACCATTTAGAAGGATGCCTTCGTCTATTCCGTAAAGAGCCTCGTTAAAAATTTTCTCTGAGTACATATTAAATATCAACGGCGATAGGATACATCTCTGTCATCCAGGTCTGCCTCTTTTAAAAGTTTATTATCTTTTGATGTTGAACTCTGTCAAATACCTTTTCATAGTCGAAATTCTTCTTATTCTTCAAATGCTAATCCACTAATGGATGATAGCGATCACATTTTACATTAATTCTCTATTTCTTGCAATATGTATCAGAGATTGTATGTCGTTAATCCCTGTCCATTGCCTTATGTTTCGGAGCCAGGACATTTTGTTGCGTCCCATTCCTCTCTTCCTTCAATTTTACCTCGATTATAAGTTGGAGGAACTGGTATTTTTCATTTCGCATGATGTGACTTAGATACGCCGTTTTCCTTTTCTTGATGGTTTCGAAACATAGTCGAACATTAAACATTAAACACAGTCACAAAAAAAAAAAACGAAAATATTGATATACAGAACTGTTATCAAGGCCATCCTCACTTACGAGTCAGAAACGTGGATGGTGGCAAAGAGCGATGAACAACGTTTACACTGTTGTGAACATAAAATCATCAGAAATATATCAAATTTTGAGCTGTACCTCATTATTAGATCCAATAAAATAAATAAGTTGCGATGGCTTATGTAAATAATGGCTGCGATAAATATTATGTAAAAAAATAATCTTTTGCCATACCTAGATTTCTATAAATATTTAATCAAGCCGGAATCAACGTAAGATATGATTTATTTATTTGTTCAATAGTTGTTCAAAAGATCGGTAAATATACTTTGGCTTACTTACGTACACAACTTATTAAAATATTTTAATTTTCGTGATACCAAATCACCTACTTTAAAATCCACAGGTATCAATCTGACTTAATTTGAGATAAGATTACCGAATAGTGCTTACTCGATACCACATTTTAGTTGTCATGTTGAAATAGCTTTATTTACAAACCTAAAATGAGAGCTATTTTTATAAGAAAAAAACAATTTTTCTTATTCGTGGCCGTTGTGCTTGTAGTTTGGTTATTGGGATTCGTTTACTTTCTAGGAGATAGCGACCTGTTTGCGTATTTCAGCAATGCAGAATCAAATGAGAGGCAAATGGAGAGATTTAACAAAATATTTCGAGACAACAAGGAAAAACCTATAGCACCTGACATCGAAGTGCAGAAGCCATCCATACAAAAAATAGAAATACAGGAAGAACCAGCAAAACCGAAAGTTAAATATGGCGATATGGGCAAAGGTGTTGTTCTTCCAGATTATGTGCCACCAGAATTACAAACTAAAATAGATGAAGGCTGGAAGAATCATAGTTTTAACCAATATGTGAGTGACTTGATTGGTGTTCGAAGATCGTTGCCAGACTACAGAGATGAATGGTGCACCATTCCTTATAGGTACGAAATTAAACTTCCTAAAACTTCTATTATAATTTGTTTCTTTAACGAAGCCTGGTCAACGTTAATTCGTTCTGTAAATTCAGTGTTAGATAGAACTCCTCCAAATTTGTTGGAAGAAATTATTCTAGTAGACGATTTTTCCGATATGGAGCATTTGAAGAGTCCACTAGAAGAGTACTGGGAAAGTGAACCAAAAGTTAAAATCGTCAGAAACACTCAAAGAGAAGGTCTTATAAGATCGCGGTTGATAGGAATGTCGCACGCTAAAGCTGAGATACTAACATTCTTGGATTCACATATTGAAGCGACTCCAGGATGGTTAGAACCGTTACTAGAACAAATTCGTGTTAATTACACTACAGTAGTGTCGCCAGTGATAGATATTATTAACTATACAACTTTCGAATACGTACCTCACAAACAAGACTTTTTTGTTGGGGGATTTGATTGGAATTTAGTCTTTACGTGGCATAAAGTACCGCAAAGAGAAAATGAACGAAGAACTGATTCAGCAGAACCAGTGTACAGTCCTACAATGGCTGGAGGTCTGTTTAGTATCAGCAAAAAGTTTTTTGAAGAATTGGGAACGTACGATCCAGATCTAGAGATATGGGGTGGAGAAAATTTGGAGCTGTCGTTTAAAATTTGGACTTGTGGTGGTTCACTACAGATTGTTCCGTGCTCTCACGTCGGACATGTTTTTAGAGTGAGCTTTCCGTATACTATTAGCAATGGTGAATCTACAAAAAGTGTTATGGACAGGAATCTGAAACGTGTGGCTGAAGTCTGGATGGATGATTACAAAGAGTACTATTATAAAAGGAAAGGAACTTATTATAAAAGTGTAGAGTATGGTGATGTATCTAGCAGGAAAAAACTTAGAAGGGATTTGCACTGTCAGTCATTTGAGTGGTATATAAAGAACGTGTATCCCGAATTGTTTATACCAGATAAAATCTACGGATACGGTGTTATTGGTACTACCGACTGGAAGTTTTGTCTAGATAGTTGGGGAAGACATGGCAATGCTTTTGTTCCTCTTCCGATTAAAACATGCTACGCAGATAGTCTTGGCGGTAGCCAGTTCTGGTACTATACACATGACAAAGAAATAAGAAAAGAAGAGCATTGTATGGATTTGAATGAATCGAACGAAGATCTTGTTGGTTTATACCCATGCGATAAAAAATCTAGCAGTCAAAAGTGGATTTTTGATCCAGTTTCCAAGTTTTTCGTTAACCAATCGAATAAAAAGTGCTTAGATGTCGAAAATAAAGAACTAACAGTGACTGAGTGTGATAATAAAAGGCCACATCAAAAATGGTTTGTACAACATATCAATGGTACTCAAAATTCGCCGTACTCGTTTAATATTAAAAAACTAACCAACTAAGTGTACGGGCAGAAATAAGTGAATAGATACAACAGACTTGAATCTCAATTGAACCAAGTTGTTAAATCGTTGTTTTGTATAAATATATGATGGCTATATGCAACAAAATAATTTAACATAATCAAAATGTAAATTTTTTAAAACGTCTAAGACTCTTCGAATAAACTTAGCAGTCATTTTGTTATCAGTTATATTTTTTGTTGATTAATAATAAAAACTTTACAAATATTTATTTATTATAAAAAAATCTTGCTTGCTCAGTGGTGTTGCTCAAATTTATTTAGGAATTTTTATTTATATTTATGGTCACAAAGCACAAAGATTTTATTTTTTTTTATATAAGTCAGTGTTCTTAGATATCAAAATAATAAATATCTGGTAACGAAGACAATTTTTTGTTAAATTATAAGGTAAGTATTATAATGTCTAAGTTATTTCTAGAATGTCCAAAAATTCGTCTCCATTCTCATGCATTTCGTATTTCATTTTTTCATTTTTTATTTTAAAAATTGTTATATGCTTGTAGTTCTTTATATCCCAGCTTTGATCTTTCTTTAAATATCCTGCACATCGCATTTGTCTAATTTGTATTAATGTTTTACAACCCATTGTAATTTGTGTATTTCGCCATGCCATATTTGTAGCCAGATGCCATTTTCTTTTGTCATCATCATCATCAGTAGCTGTACAACCCTTTCTAGGTTCTGGCTTGTTCTAGGATTTTCCGCCATTCTGTTGTGTTCCTTGCTTTGTTTTTCCAGTTGGTAATTTTAAGTATATTCAGATTTTGTTTCAGTTGTTCCATGTATCTAAGTTTGGGTCTTCCCTTTGACCTTCTCCCTACTGGTGTGTTCATCGTTTTTTGACAGTGTCCATGTTTCTGATCCATATACAAAGACCGGTTTTATCAAGGTCTTGTATATTTTGCATTTGGTTTTTCCTGTTTTGTTGTTAAATCTTAGATGTTTGATTAATCCAATATATCTTTTATTAGCAATATGCGTTCGTCTTTTAACTTCTTCACTGACATTGTTAACTGCGGTAACTAGTGAATCTAATGTAAAATTTTTCAGATATGTAAAACTTTTCACGCGTTCGATGTTATAGTTTCCTATTGTCAGATTATGTAAGTTTCTTGCCTGTCAATTTGCTGGCCTTAATGTATTTGGTTTTTATTTCAATCATGTTTAGGCCACTGTTTTGTGCCGCTCTTTCTATCGCATTAAATGCTTCTATTATCTCTCTTTCGCTTCTAGCTATAATATCAACATCATCTGCAAAGGCCAATATTTGTACACTTTAATACAGGATAGGGCATCTCCCTGACGTAGGCCCGTTCTGAATTTGAGTGTTTTATTATTTTCTCATAGTGACTATCTGTCGTAGTCTCTTTTCCACATCTCTTTTTTCCGATATCTCATTTTGTAATGATACAATTATATCAGTGTTTCTTTCATCGGATATCTGCTTATCTACCCATAATGTTTATTGTAAGCTCATGCGTTCGATTCAGTAACAAGTTTCCTTCTTTCTTAATCATCTCATATGTTATTTGGATTGATCTCTGTGCTTTATTATTTTTTTAATTTGTGTACTGCTAGTACTTCTAGACATCGTTATTTTCGGTTTAAGTTCTTTTCTGGTTTTCTTTATTTTCTGGTATAATTTTATTGTCATTAATATATTTTACTTAGTTCCTATAGTTCTCGAAGTTCTGTGTTGTGTATATTTTTTCGTTAAAAAGTATGTACGCTATAATCATGTTAAGTGATCCCACGTCTATTACCCTATTGCCGATATAATTCATTAGCTTGTAGGTACTGATGTTACCTATTGTGGAATAAAATTATTTTTCGTTTAAAACTTTTAAAGCTTTGTTTAGTCTCCATAGATTATTTTTATAAGTACCATTTTTTGGGCATGACTGATATGCAGACTCCAATTTATCATTTTCTTTAACTTGACAACACCAATTTGAGATATGGCGCCATTGAAAGGAACTAAACCACCTAAAAATTGTTGTATTATTTATTTAAATACAGTCATTAGTTTTAATATGTACTATTAATAATTTATATAATTCCCCTTAAAAAATGTTATCAAAAATTATTCAAAAAATATATTTTAACATTTATTTAGGTGTTTTTCATACAATTTTAGCATCAATTACAATAATATAGTTATTTATGTCTAACATCTATAAATATCCACCTTCAAATGATAAAAATTAGATAAATATATGATACATATATTTAAAATTACCATATGTTGAATACTAAAGCAGATAATTGCCACTGTTATGGGTTAAAATAAAATATCGTATTTTTGTCAAATTATTGGTTTTCTGTACTACAAAGAGAAGCAAAAATACCGCGATTAATAAAACGAGAAAATTTTTAAATCAGGTAAAAACCCACTAGTCTCATTGTTTAAAGTCTAGCTCTGCTGTGACTAGCTCTAAATGACTAGCTCTTTCTAAGACTCTTTGTCTCCAGAATCAATGTTAATTAAACATGATTTAGATAGAGCTTTAAGAACAAATAACTATAAGAAAGTGGCTTGATATAATTTATCTAGATGTGCACATTCACTATAAAAATTTTCAATATCAGCAGCCATATATTTTATGGTCACAGATTCCTGTAGCTTCTTTGACTTTCTGTACAGATTAAAGAAGTCATATATTTGCTCTAACATTGTTTATTTATCTATCTACGGCGTATCTAGGTCACATCATGCGAAATGAAAAATACCAGTTCCTCCAACTTATAATCGAGGGTAAAATTGAAGGCAAGAGAGGAATGGGACGCAAGAAAATGTCCTGGCTCCGAAACATAAGGCAATGGACAGGGATTAACGACATACAATCTCTGATATATATTGCAAGAAATAGAGAATTAATGGAAAATGTGATCGCTAACATCCATTAGTGGATTTGCATCTGAAGAAGAAAAAGAATTGTTTATTTACATTGGTCACTCATTGATTTATTTATGTTTCTTTAATAACATTACCACCATCTTAATCTTCTTTGTAGATCAATGTTCTTGTTGTTTACCCCCTCTTCTCCTAACCGAGAAAATAAAAGCAAAAGCCTAACAAAAAAACTTCAATCAACAAAAATTCGGAACAAAATACAATCCTACAAAAGCAACTGAGGTAATGAAATTATCACATCTTCGGTTCAAATTGTTAATGCGTTAGCTAAAAACTAAAGACAAATGTCTTCCAAAGAAAATTCCAACCCTGTATGCCTGGAAATCAAACTAAAGGCCGAAAGGTCTTACCTCTTTCTTGAAAACTGCAATATATTGCTCGTTCTTACATTACAAAAACTAAACGACTTACCTATCAATCTAGAAGAAACAAGTTCTGAGCCTAACAATACTCAAACTACTTTCTTAAAACGCTCGTACGTCTGCTAATAATTACAAGCTTCAATTATTTCACTTCATCTGGCAACGACAGTAGTACCCAACTGTTTGGTTCGATCTATCATTCTACCATTTCTCCAGAAAAGCCAAAAATCTCGTATAAATCTTGATTTCTATAAATCAATAAGACTAACTTGTGCAATCAACAAGCTACTAGAAAAAATTATTAACTTAGATCTGATTTGGTATCTAGAAAGTCCAAATTTACTTATAAACGAACAAAATGCTGTTCGACGAAACTGACCTGGGATAGACAACATATAAGACCTGGAAAGTGATATTCACGAATCGCTGTCAACAAAACAACATTGTATCGCAGTATTTTTTGACTTAAGAAAAGCATTTAATACATGTTGGTTATGCTACATCTTAAAAAAGTTACAGTCATAAAATATTTGTGGAAATCGCCTTTATTTCATTAAGAACTTTCTAGAAAGTAGATCGTTTCATGTAAGAGTTAACAACTACTATTTCCAAAGGCAAGAGAAAGAAAATTTGGCCCCTCAAGGCTCAATTATTAGCCCTACAATCTTCTTAATCGCCATTAATCACAAACTTAATCAAAAGTTCTTCCTCATCTTCTTCTTTTGATACTGTATGCAGCGTATAGGCATTCATGCTAGTTGGATTATGCGTAAGGACCCTAGTTCTTCTCTTCTTATTCTTGTATTAACATCACCAGGTATGTCACACCAGTTTCTTATGTCTCTGAACCATGATTTTTTAAAGATTATCTTTGGAGCCTCTTAAAATATGGCCTAGATATGAGACTTTTGACTATTTAACAACCTTTAAATCCCATAAAATCTTTAAAAGCACATTAGATAAAATAAACAAGAATACAACTTATTCACAATTAATTAATTTTACCACCAACGACAGGTTTCTCATACTATAATTTGCTGTGAATCGTCAGGTCAACTGTACGTGGTAAACTAAATACCGTAGGTATTGTGTTCTCTAAGAAAAACTTTACAAATAATCAAAATCGTAAAATTTTTCAACACATCGCTATTCTTCAAATCATGTGTAAAATTTTTGGGTACGTGGTTTTACAAACAACGTACTTCGAAAGAACACATTAGGCAATTAGTATTGACATGTAATAAGAAACTTAATCTAATGAGAACATTGTTAAATAGATACTGGGGCTCTAATTGCTCTACCCTGCTAAAAATCTACAGAACCTTAATCTAAGATCAAAACTTGATTATAAATCAATTGCTTACGCCTCTGTATTCCTCATATTGTTAAAACAGCTAAACTGTGTACGCAATATAGCAATTACTTTATTTCTTGCATCAGCTTGAACATCACATGTAGAAAGTTTATAGTATCAAAGTGGGGAGCCTTCATTTGCCAAATTTCCCAAACACTAGCATATGCAACGTAAATAACTTCGATTAAAAATAAACCTCTATTTTTAATAACACATTTAGTAATAAATATATAAATCTGTTTGCCAAATACTGTCAAACACAAACCTTACTGCGAGCGAGTACGGTGTTGCCTGAGATGTCTCGATATCGTACTTGGAGGGTGCCGGTTTACAACATCCCTTCCATGGAGAGACTTGTATGCTACAGTGTCTCTTTCAGCGGCTTTGTTCTTGCTGCAAGTCCAATTAGTCCGCTAGCCTTCGACAGCTCAGTAGAGAAACTAAAATGGACTTTCAAAGTTGCTTTTATCTGGCCTGTTGAATTAATATAGTGAAATAAAACAATT